CATGACTTTTCTTTGCAAAGTTATAGAATTTACAAGAAAAGCCCTAAATATTCATTGTCAACTCAAAGCTACAAAAATAAGAAGAAATTAATTTAGGGCTTCTCTTGTAAATTCTATAACTTTGCAAAGAAAAGTCATGTAGATTTGGGAGAGGTCTCATTTTAATCAGAAATGTGCGGGCTACAAGCATGGCTCATTAAGAAAAGCTTTGATTGTTTTCCAGAGTTTCTGAAAAACTGGTTTTTCAGAAAAGCGGGCCTTCGAGGCCCTAGGAGCAGCTCTCATATTCATATTCGGAATCAGCATAATTAATAACCTATAATCCACTAGGTTTCGTTGAAAAAGCAAGGGGACACTTAAAAACGTTCCCTGGTTAGCAAGCTCTGATTTGCACATAGATGATAGTTTGAGGTGCCTATCATTCCATGCAGTCAAAAATAAACTTTTAAAGTTAGATTTAATGGTTATAAAATTGCTTACAAAATAAGGGCCAAAACGTTTTTTAGAAAATAAAAAAAAATTTGGCATCTAGACATCAAAACAAATGAGCGCTTTGGTGGAGGATTGGATTCTCTATCCGACGATATGTTTTTCAGAATTTTTGGAAAAAATATCTAGGTCCGAAAATTAAATTTAAAATTTAAAAATTTAAATTTTCACTACGAAGATTTGACTTTCATTTGTTTTTGAGGCCAGATTTGTAATCACCGTGAAAAACTGCGTCTGTATTTTTAAGCTTTGTTCCAGTTAAAACAAAAATTCGAACCTTCTCATCCGAAAAGATTTTCACTTTGGGTATTTGAGTAAGGAAATAATACTATGCCAAGGGGTTAAACAAAACATATATTCAAACAAACTTCAAATGTATCATCTTCAGACCTTAGACATTCATCTGATTCTTGATCACAACTTCCTACGCAGTGTGTATGGGAGTTCTGTGTTAGGACAGCCTAGTGTTGAGTGGTGGTTAATGATTAGTAAAATGATGAGTGCCTTATCTTCGGAGATTGTCGACAGCAGGGAATGTATTCAACTACTAGAAACTGGCAATGGCCTTCCGATAAAGATAGCCATAAAATGATCAGTTTTTCTTCTGTTTTGTTTAATTCTAGAGAGGATGAAGATTTCTTTCGATCTTATTAACAATTACTTTTTCGAACCAATGAATATATGACTCACATTTTAATAAGTTTGATGAATGATGTATTATGTGATGGACAATCTCTATCAATTTTATATCATGATTCTATTGTAATTTAATGAATGATTGTGAACATAAAGACATGTTATGATGAGTAAAATTACAGTCTTAATAGTTCATGCCCTTACAAAAATAACATTAATAAATTAATAACCTTCAATTGTTCAACAAAGAGGTGTTCGTTTATTAGTTTAATCATCCATATACTACGAATAGTAACGACCATGTCAAATTGACAAGAAAAATAGATGACATTTATGTTCATGTCACACTAAGGAGTATAGTAAGCACTAAAAGAAAAGTTTATGAGTTCAGCATGTCATTCTTATACAAAGCTTTTGAGCGTCTTTTCTCTGTTTACGGTATTTTGAAATTAATGTGGTGAAAAAAAAGTTTATCAGTAAATCGATGGTTATCTGTCTTTTATCAGACACAACAGAGAAACTATTTGAATAGACTGTTACATGTACAAGAAAAGTAATTATTTATATGTATCATTTTTAAACGAAATAATCACTCTTCATACAACAGTCAAATAAAAAGTTTTTCAATAAATTTTAATCTCAAAACTCAATTTTCAATAGCAGCCTATATTCGAAGAATATCTTCTGTTCTAAGAATACCATTTCAGAAATATTGTCAATTTCCCCACGGTAATTCATCAGGACAGAGAGATATCAGTTTACGAAGAATATTTTTCCTCTAATAGCTAACAATGAAATTATGTCAAGAGTCTTTGTTAACGCATACAACAAGAACGAATGAATAAAAAAACGCCGAAGAGTGATCGAATATGATAAATGATTTTCTCGATACATTGCAAAAAACGAATTTTCTCTTTAATAAGTAAAGAAAAATTTATTTAATCAAACACTTGATTAAATATTTACATCAAACATATTTATAATTATCTCTTTTAAGTATTTCACGGTGAATAAAAGTAAAAATCGAATAGACACTTAAGTTTACTGTTCTACATTATTATTAATAGTGAATTTTTATTTTTTCTTATTTTTGTTTTATACATTCAATCTGCACAAGAAGAAAATCATATCACACACGCGAATTAAAAGACAAAACATTTCTGTAATGTTGTAACGGTGAGACTTCATTTGAGTACGTATAATTTTAGAGCGTCTTATGTGAGCGCATTCGCATTTAATTGTGTCTTATTTGCGTGCGTTTCAATTACACCACTCATTCTTGAAAATATTTTGAAACTTTTGAACCGTTTCTGTCATCACTGTTTGATATTAATTCTTAGTAGTTGTTAATCTTTTATTTTAATTTCAAAAATAATCTGTCTTACAATATTTTCGAACAACTTCATCATCAACATATATCATCAAACCAAAAAATGATTCTTCGATCAAAACCGATTGCAGATTCATCGTCTCCATAGTCGATTATCTTGTATGCGATAACTTTTGGGTGGAGGTATTTTAGAAAACATTTTCGACATCGTTTTGCCTCTGGTCTCATGCAGTGACTTTTTCGAAAATTTTTGAGCAAGACCATGACCAACTTTTTTTTTGAAATACGCTAATCCAAAAGTTATTGTGTACAAGATAATCGGCTATGGAGAAGGCGAATCTGCAATCGGTTTTGCTTGAACAAGTTTTTGAAATTTTTAGATTTGGTGATATGTATTGATGATGAAGCTGTTCGAAAAAATATTATAAGCTAGATTATTTTTTGACCTATCTAAGGTAGTTTCAGCTAGCATCACAAAAAAGTTTTCTTTTTTGAATAAAAAAAAAGAAATAGATTCTCATACTATTGATGAAACTGATAACTTGTAGGATACAATCTGCACACACACACACACACACATCTACCCTCAAAAAAAAAGTTTTTTTTCTTATTTTCTCACCGTCCATTCAATCATGAATTTAGTAACAAATTCAGATTGTGCTTTTTTGTGTCGACGAAATTCATCTTTCATATATTGATTACCTAACTCTTTCAATTCGTTTGGTAGACCACGATGTAAACGTAATAATGTTTTGTATAACACTAACACACGCAACCGATGTTGAGCACCAAATATAGATTCATACATAAGAACAGAAATAATTTGGAAACGTCTATTATTCAAAATCTAAAAGAAAGCTATGTTCTTTATATTTTTCATAAGCACCTACAATAATAGCTATTTAAGACTGGAAACGTTCATTAATCGCAGTCAACAACTGAAACGACTTTATATTTTCCTTAGATGTTTGGAATTTGCTGAAAAATATTAATTTTTTCGTATATATCACTGGTAAATGACTGCGTTCATTGCTTTTCTCCGATTTTTCTTGTCAATATTATTCAAAAGTAGTTCAAAACACTAATACAATTTATTTATTTTTTTCAAGCTAACTGTTGAAAAAAATCAACACTGTTTTGTCATTTTCTCAACACTAAAAGTATTTTTCATTCACATTCTAAAATAGTTACAGTAAATACGTTGAAAATTGAACGCTTCAAAATTTGTCGTTTGTTCTTCTTTTCATATCCTACGCCAATTTGTAATACAAATAAATTTTGAAAAACGTAAACATTAGACCCTTTTATTATTAATAACAAAAACAAACAAACAAAAACAAAATAGAGAAATACGTCAGATGTATAGAAAATTACGTTTACAAAAGTATCAACGTTCAATGAGATGTTTTTTATTTTGAAACCAGAAAAAAAACCACTACAGACATAAATGTCAATAGAGAAGCTGCTAATAAGAACGATTTATCACCACTGTTCTATAGGCCCAAATGGAAATAAAAGAAACAAATAAAAAAATAAATATCATGTTTGGTTGTTCTACGTTCTACCGGTATGAAAAAGAAAAATGAACACGATAGTATTGAGATCAGACTTATTTATGGAATGAGTGAGTAAGAAAATTGCACAAATGAAAAAAATTTTTATATAGCACACAATATTGGAAGAATCATACAAATAAGCAAAACGTTTTCCTGAGAAAGAGAGAGAGACAAAAAATAATAATAATACTGGACGGAATGTGAACAATTAGTATCATTAATGGTTATCATAACAACGTTTCTTGTCGTTTATTAGCCATCATTTCTTCTTTTAAACGTTGCATATAACGATTTAAGTCATTATTATCGGGCTCTAATTTCGATGCTTCCACTAAATCGTCTAATGCATCGTCGTACAATCTAAAGGCAAACAAATTTTAAAAAAAATGGTAATGATAAAGTACTTTAGATAATGATAAATGACCTTTGATCACGTTTTATTCTTGCACGAAGTAATAATGCATCAGATGTTGTCTGTAAAGTCAATGCTTGTGTACAATAATCAATTGCCATATCAGAAGCCTAAAGATAAGAAGAATCTCAATATTAACTTTTTAGATGTGAATATATTTTAATTTACATTCATTTTTCTTTTACATTTCGCCAAATTAATCAAACACGTATATTTCATCATTTGAAAATTATTTTTAACATTAGTCAGTATGCTAACATCATGTGACTGATGTTGTTCAATAACAAAATTTGATTGTGGAATCTTTTTCATTGCATAAGAAAAACGATAAGCAGCATCTTTGTATTGGCTTTTCTAAAAAAAATCATAACAATAGTCTTTTTTAACTAAATGGATTTGTATACAGATAAAACATACCTTATATAATGTGAGACCATCTTCGATTAATTTGTTTAATAAGATGATCATCATGTCATTTTTACCGGATGCTAATGCCCACGTTGATGGTCCTAAACATATGAATAACAGAGTTTGAATTTTATTACATTTAAACTAGGTGAACTCACCCAATTTAACACTTCGTTTCAATAAACAATTAACAACGGCTACATTTCTACATCCAATTGCTCGATCCAATGCTCTCATTCCGTTATTATCAACGTGATCTACAATCGAGCCATTGTCGATTAATAATTGAACTAACTGTGGATCACCATAAAATGCAGCCATATCAATTGGTAAACGTCCATTTATATCCTTATGATTAATATCACTATTATGAGCTATCAATGTTTGACACGCATGGTAGTGACCTTTCAAACAAGCCCACGCTAACCCTGTTAAATGTTCTTCATCTTCGTGATTGACATTTGCACCTATTAAATGAGAAAAGATTGTCGTTAATATGTTGATATTCCACCTATAGAACGTTACCTTTTTCAATCAAACTATCTATAACAGCTAAATATCCTTCACTGGCAGCAATAATTAATGGTGTTCGTTTTTGTTTATCTGCTATTTCAATAGATGCATTTTGATCAATTAAATACTCCACAATATGCCACATTCCTGCTTTAACAGCCGCTATTAATGGTGTCATTTGACGACCATTTGTTTGATCGATATTTGCATTTTGTTTCAATAGATATTCAACAATATCTAAATGACCACAATATGAAGCGGTTGTCAAAGCTAAAAAAAAATAAATATTCCATTATTAAATAAATTGAAAAAAGCAAAAAGTAAACCTGTTTCTCCATAAATTGAATCACAATTATTAATTTGAATAATATCACTCATGTTGTTCAATAATAATTCGATAGTTTGCAAACAGCCATTTGTCGAGGCGTAAACGAATGCTTGTTGAAATGCTTCACATTTATTTAAACAATGACGGTTCATAGTATCTTGATTATCAATAGATGGCCAATTAACATCATACAATAACTGAAGAAGAACGATATGATTCTGTTTTGCAGCATAGGCAACAGCTGTATAATGAAATTTATCCGTATAACTAACCTAAGAAGAAAAAGAAAGCGAATTTCATTCATAGACTTTTTGCTCTGTAAACAAAACATTACATTTATAACTCAAAAACTAACTATTTTTACTTCTTACGTTAGCTTCATTTTGTAATAGTATTTGTGTAATCTGTTCATGTCCATTCTCACATGCTAATATCAATGGTGTTTTAAGATCTTGTTTTGATCTTATATTTATATCAGCTGAATATTTCACTAATAGTTCAACAAATGATGTATAACCTTGAGTTGATGCAATGCATAGAAGTGGAATTTGTGTATGTTCAACTAAACCATTCGGATCCGCTGTTGTTAACAAAAGTAATTCAGAAACATTTAATTCTGGATAATAGGCATTTCGTAATGATACGAGTAAACGTGTTGGCTCATTAATAATATGAGATATCCACAAACATATTGAATCAATACTATTTGGTAATGTTGAAAATAAATCTGACTGAGATAAATGACGAATACAATCAAAGGCTTCTGATGGCCATAAATTTTCTTTTGTACGCGATTTTGTTAATGCCAATCGTGAATGACCTTTTCTAATTGAAATAAAAATAACGATATAATAAAAATTAGTCAAATTGTACACATACAATTCAACCACACTCACTTAATATCACAAGCGAACACATCATCGATCAGCCAATTTCGAGTACAACGATGTACAATTGTATAACTTGAATCAGGCAAACGAGTTAAAAATAAAGATAAACAATTGATATACTAAAATAAAAAAAAGATAAATGTAACAATAATTAGACAACTTTTGTTCATTGTAAATACCCCTAAAAATTCATTATAATTAATTGTAGATCTAATTTGATCAGAATTTACACATATATGCAGTTCATTCAAACTTAATGGTTTTCTTGATGCTAAACATATTTCTAATATGGATTTTAATCGAAATAGAAAATGATTATCATATTCATTATCCAAAAATAATATTCTTGTTATATACGTTAAAATTTCATCGATCGTTTTTGGAATATTTTGTTGACTATCGTATAAATTTAATTTAAACGATGGTATCTGTTGACGTTCAATTAAATTACACAAATATGATAAATAAAGAAAATTTCCTTGTGATAGATAAGATAATTTTTCAATTAAATAATGAAAATGTTCAATATCATTTAACGAATTTAGACCATAACCTTCGTAGAATGTTGGAGAATAATAACAATTTCGAGAATTCTAAAAATATAATTAAAATTTTTACTTAATGAAGAGAACATCAACATCTGAAATATATCAGATACATCATTATGATGGAATGAACATATTAATTCAATAATATTTTTATAATTAGCAATATGTTCATAAAAGAAAGAAGAATATTTTATACCTGTTTTAATTGTTTGTTAATGCGATCAAATCGTTCTATCATATAGTCCTGTATATCATTTTTTATCAAATTTTGATAGGAACAATCGTCCAAATCAATCAATTCAAAATGTTTTAAAAATTTATCTTCTTCTGTTTTATTTTTTTGATTTCGATTTAATGTTATAATTAGTTTTAACCATGTCGGTAAACGATGTAAATTATCATACAAAAATTCTGTAATTGTTTGTCCTTCATTATCACATAGTTCATTATCAATACCATCGATAATAATAAATAATAGTTGAGGATTTGATGATAATGAAAATATTTCATTTAAATGTCCACAATTTTTTAATCCATTTAATTGTTCAATAAATGAATTGAAAAATGCAAAACTTACACCACCCTCAATACATGCATTTAACGTGATTGATTTACGAATTGATTGTTCATTCAAAATAATATTACGATAAGAATGTAATTGAGGATGTTCTAATGAACGATAAATGATAGAATGAATTATATCGGGTAATGTGCAAGTGAGAGAAGTTGAACAATCACAGAAATGATACGATAATAAACGAGATTGCAACCATTGAAATGAAAATGATGAATTGACTAATGGTTTATGGAACACTAGAAAGAAAATCACATGTCTCTCCTATTGATCAAGCTTTTTTAGAAGCTGAAAAATTCTGATAGTAAGAAGACTAAAAGGACAAGAAACAGTTTCTCACACATGGTCCAACATGATTCTATTTTCTATTTCTGAATCAGTTTAAAATTTAAAATTATTAATCCTTGTTCGTTGGCATTTCAACAACGGTCATACATCATACGAAAATTAAATTTTTCTTATGATTTCAAAGTATATGATAAAAAATTATACGTGGAAATGTAGAGAATTTTCTGTGCTTCAAAATAAGCTTCAAATAACTTGTTTAAAATTGTAGAATCATTCGTAGTGTATGCGCTTGAGACCAAGTACTTAGAAAAGTACTTGGGTAAGTAATGTCCCGAGTACCTGGAGTTATTTGCAAGTAAAAAAGGTACTTATCAAGTAATTTAACAAGTATAAGTACTAGATAAACCCTTCATTAAGTATTTGGCTGGTAACCTGGTAAGTACTTGCGAAATATATGCAAGTATCCGAAGTTCTTCCAAGTACTTGACACGTATTAAATCTAAAAATGCTTGACAAGTACTCTGGAAAATTTTCAAGCAGCTAAGTACTTGATCTCAAGTACATTCACTAAGGATTGTTCAAATACTATACAAATGAACATCATCATTTTCATTTTCATTAGATCATTTCAAAAGAACTCTAAACGCATTCATGTGGTCAGAACCGGAATGCTTTAAACAAAGAAATGTCTCAAAACTGCTGAGAGGAATGCGGCAGGGTAAGATGACGTTAAAATCAGCGAACTAAGCAGAAAAATATATGTAGAAAAGGAATTTGCTTTTGTGATCTAATTTATTTGTGCACAAGATATATATAATTTATATTTGTTATAGAGATCGTATTAGACTTCCGTTTATCGGTAAATCAGTACCTTTGTTCGTTTATGTACATACTCTAAGTCCAACGCCAAATAGTGGCTTTATATGTAATAATTGCCACTGTGCCGTACCGATGGGAAAATTAATTTTTTGTCGAACATCAGATGCGTGATCACATGTGAACTTTCTATAATTTCACAAGTAGGAATTTCTTTTCACATGTGCCCACGTGCGAAAACTATAACGCGAAAGTTTCCGTGAACTGTTCACGCGTTGTCACAAGTGGAATATATTTTTTATGCGTGCCCACACGCCATTTTATGATGTTCACGTGCGACTACAGTTCATTTCACGATATTCACGGGTGTACATGCCGTTTTATATACTAAACTTTTCCCATGGGTAAGTATAGTATGTGGAGTGATGACTGTGATGGAAGAAAACAAAGAAAAATAAATCGTAGAAAATCCAGATGTCGAAATAAGTTTTATTGCTTCGATAGCAGTGAATGCGGTTTAGATTGAGCCGTTTCCCGATGATTTTACCGACATAAATTCTGATATGAGTTCGATACGATCTGCCAGCATTTATCAACAGTTCTGTACGAGTTCTACAAAAATTCAAAATAAATTACTGATTTATTTTTATTCTCCACTACTTTTTACTGTATTTCTCCTATCCATACTTCAACGTTTCAACAACGTATAAAGACTTTGAGGGAAATGTCGCTGATTGGGACCAGTCAGCTGAGAATTTTTCTGCAATTTAATAAGTTTTTTACCAACGAGAGATGTTTCTAGTGATCTCTTGACAAAAAAGAGGTGAATCATAGTAACTTTACAACATTCTCCTTACTTTTCTGGATATCGTTATTCAAAACTTGATCACCTTCTGCTTGTTGTTGTTGTCCGAACACACTGTTCTTAATTATATTTTCTATTACACATGTTTTACCAACTCCTGATGATTGACTTATTAAACAAACACCGTATTTTGTGGTTACTTTAAGTTGTTTTACAATTTCATCGTACAACCAATTGCGATTAACGATGTGACCACTGTTCTTAGTACAGTTCATATTATGTTCCTCTTCTTCGTCATCGTCGTCGATCACATTCGATCTTTGAAGATGTAAACAGAGAGATAATCTATTTTCAAAATCATCCGTGTTTAACAGTGGCTGCTGTCGTTCAGTGTGATTATCAACACAAGATGAGGGTGGAGTCACAATATACCGAGCAGTCGACAAATCCTGACTTTGTTGTTGACAATGTGGCTGAAACTTTTCATTTGTATGTTCATGTCTATTTAAACATGTGGCATGAATAACACAATTATCACCTAAAAATGATCAAAAACAGACTTTGACGTGTAGTAGATACATCTAAAAACGTAATAATCGTACCTAGCACTGGATTAACAATTCCCGAATAAGATAAATCCGAATTTGACATTGACGGTGATATGCTTGCAGTGGATTGAAAAATATTTGTATTTATTTGTTGTTGTTTCAGTTCATGCTTTTTCTTGACCATCATTCGTTGTAAAGATGTTTGTGAGGAGGAAGCGGATGATGATTGAGATGGGGACACAGTTAATGAACGATTATTACTATTACTTGTTAAAAAGTGTAATAGTTGTTTATGAGCATGTTCAGGAGACGGTGGTGGTAGTACAGTACTATCGATCATAATTGTTTTCAAATTGCTAGTAGAATTACAATTATTAATTACTTTTTTTTCCGCTTTTGATATAATCTAAGATAGAGAAAAAGAAAACCTGAGAATGTTCGTTATTTCTCAATCGAATAATTAAACCATAAAAAGTTCTGCATGCTAATATTCAGCTTACTTGTTGTTGCGGTTGCGCATGTTTCATAACAAGTCCATTTGTTTTTATTTTTGATCGTTGACTTTGTGTTAATGATGAACGATTGAATAGATGGTTAGAGGATAATTCATTTTTATTCCCGTTCAATGATGACGATAGTTGTTGTTTGTTAGTACTATTCAAATGAAAAAATAATTTTTGAAGATGATTTTGAGTCGATTTTTGGTGATTTGTTTCATCGTTATTTTGTTGTTGCTGTTGTTTTCGTTTTACTAATGGTGAGCTAAACAATATTGATCGTTGTGTTTTGGGTGTAGCATTAATTGCTGTCGTCGTCGTCAATTTTGATTCATGAGAATTTTGTGGAACATAGGTAATAAGATTATTTTCGATAGCTGTTGGTTGAAATTGCATACCAGAATTTTTAGATTTGATTCTCACTGCACTCGAAAAAAAAACCTATTAATTCTTAGAATACATTGAAAGCAGAGAGAGATAGGTCTTTATATGGTAAACTATGCTAATACTGAATCCAGCTCAAGTATCTTTGTAAATAGTTCAATAGGTTTGATCGGAGTGGTGTATTTCAGATTCAGAGATTGTCGATTGAAACGGACATCAATTGCATCATTGATTCAATTGGTGATGCATCTAAAGTAGTAGCTAATCTCTTTGGGTATCCTGCCCAACTCGTACAATTCTGAAACACAATCAATATTTAAAATACCTCGATTTTATTCTCTTTACATCATTCTCTTCCTGCAAAGAATATTATTGGAAGAACGTTATAGCCAGTCGCTGAAGCCTTTTAAAGATGGCAAAACATAAGTATTCGCACGCCGTTGCATTCTTTTAGCCGTGAAAAGAAGAGAAGTAAAATTCCTTACTGTTTGAAATGTAGACCAGAAAAATCTCATTATGATTGACAAACTAAAGATAAGACATTTTCTTCACTAATTTTCAAACGATCCTCGACTTTCAAAGGTATTTATATTTAAATAGACTTTTAACTTTAATTTAACGTAAAATCGCTTAAAATAGTGCTTAAATCTATTTACTTTCTTCATTTTCTGTTAGCTACATTAGTCTTCTGCACAGTTTTTTTAATTTTATTCTAAATTTTTAACTTATTATTTATTCTTTTAGTCGTTATTAACGGCTGTTATTTACGGTTAAAAGAAGTTAACGTCTGCACACTTCTGAATCTGTCGATAAATGACATTGTATTTTTCTGTTCACGAAACAAGCCCGTCGTATATCTTTTACATATTTTCTGAAATCTAGAGTGAAAGATTTTGGACGATAAATACTTAGTTTTTGTGATAAACACGTGGAACATTGTTCATATTTAAACATACAACTGTAACATTTTTGATGTTGACATGATGCATCAATTAAACGTCGTCGTTGATTGCTGTCATAGGCACAATTACATATCGGACAATACTGGTCATTACTATTTAATAATGAAGAAACGGATGATGATGATTGATGCTCATTTAACGATTTATTATAAGTAAACGCGATATTATTCTTAATATTGTCATTAACCGATGATGTGGTAGGTTTTTTTGAAGATCGAGCAGAACGAAATAAAACTCCGTCTAAATAAAAATTTTAATTAGTTGAATACTTGAGAGAGAAACACACGCTTTCAAAATAGATGACAAATGCATCTTTTCGTTTTGACCCAGGGGGTCGTATTATGAAAAAACTTAAGTCATTGACTTAAGCCGTAATTTAAGTCTAAGTTTAAGACCGACTTAAGCCCGGGCTCTTAAACCGTATTACGGAAAGACTTAAATTGGTGATTGTTTTTTTGGTCTTAACTTTAAGACTACATTTCTTATGACTTAAGTTTTTTTGTAATACGGTAAAACTTAAGTTAGCGGCAGGGGGTCGTATTACAAAAAAAAACCTTAAGTCGTGATTTAAGTCTAAGTTTAGGACCGACTTAAGTTCTGGGACTTAAACCGTATTACGAAAAGACTTAAGTTGGTGATTTGTTTACTTTTTGAAAGTCGTTGACAACAGTGACCATCTTGGGATAAAAACTCGCAAAATAAAGAAATATTTATTCTCTAAAGCTTAAAACGTCGTTTTCGTCGAACAGTATCGTTAAATGCCTCACATCCGGACACGGACAATGGACAACTGACAGACAACTGTTGGCCAATATTTTACGGATATATTACGGTTGGTCGATACACGGAAATACACGGGATTCGACTGCAAAGCATTGGGAACCTGATGATCGGATTTCGGCTGTCGTAATCGGTGGATTTCGGTGGATTTCGGCCGGATCCGGTCTGACATGTGCGGGAACCGGTCGAATCCGAAATCCAATTACCAGGTTTCCAATGATTTTCGGTACAAATCCAACGGGAAATCACTGGATCCTGCCGGTTTAATAAACCTAGAGATATTGGTGCTGTGTACATCCCTCATGTGTAACACGGTCAGCACGAGTCTGATCATATTATATATATTATACGACAGAAATAATATTATATTCATTTTTCTTTGAGATAAAAATAAAACAAGAGAAAAAAACGGGGATAAGATGAGAAAAAAAGAAAGTCTATTTATATAATGAAATGATATCTGCTGCTAATAGATTTTGAATAGATTTTTCATAGCATAGCCCTTGCACCGAACATTGAACTCGTCGAATAGATTTAATATGACTGTGAAGAATATTTTCAATTTTTTTGATCAAGTCATCGTCCCAATTGAACGGCAGTAATGCAATGAGACAGCCTCCACCGCCAGCTCCAGTAATTTTTACTTCTATGCTCATTTGATCACTTAACAATCGAACAATTTCATTTATTTTTTCATTTGATACTCCTAATTTTGTTAGAAGTTGTTGATTTCTCATGAATAATTGATTCATATTTTGATAGAAAGTTAAAGATGATGGAGATTCGCCTTCTAATAATTGAATCATTTCATTAACACATGTTTCAATATCATTCAATATCATCTCTCCTTCGTCTGGTTTAGTTTCAATAAACTTTCTAACACTTTCAACCATTTTTAACGTTGATTTTGGTATGCCTGTATCGATAATTAATAAATTTTGTTGATTCAAATTAATTTTCACCATTGTTTTTGTTGGTTTTATTTTATAAATAATTGATGAACCAAATGTGGAGATTGTATTATCTATACCCGATGGTGTACCATGAAATAAACATTCAACTTCGTAAGCAAGTTCATTTATTTCATTACGATTAGAATTAATAAATGTTTCAATATTATCTGTAGAAATATGTTTTGATAAACAATAGAAACAAGCAATTAAACATGTACTATAAGCTGCACTTGATCCTAGACCAGCACCTATTGGAATTTGTGAACGAACAATAAGATTTATACCTTGAGTTAATTGAAGACGTAAATAAACATAAAGTATAGCATTCAATTCTTGTTCTGAGAAAATGAATTGTTTCATTGTATCAAAAAAATCTTTTTGATTTAGAATGGGTGATGATCGTTGAATTGACTGTAATTCTATTTCATGTTTAGTTTTATCATCAAAATTAACAGTTATTGTTGAACTATTATTTGATTCTATTTGCATATATAATCTAAGATTAATACTGGTTACTAATGCACTTTTACCATAAACAACAGCATGTTCACCAGATAAGATTAATTTACCAGGTGATGAAAATATTAGAGTCATCTATATCTTCAATTAGAATATTAACTAGTAAATAGATTATCCAATTAAAATGAACTATCATCTAGATTTTTTCGAGAGTCGAGGCTACTCAAAGCGTCACTCGTATAGATATGATTTTAGCTTTGCTAAAATAATCGTGTCGAAATTGAGACCTCGTTATGACAAAAAAAAAAAACCTTTAAATTGATTAATCTTTTCTTCTTTATTTTTGAGAAAATATGAAGGATAAATCAATTTTCTTAAAAATCCAACTCAAATAACGACATCATGTTGAGAAAGTGCTATTTATTTTAAATTTTCAATGTATACAATTTCATTTCAATAGTGGATGAGAATATTTCGATACTATAAATATTTCAAAAAATTGAACAAATATATAACATTTAATTTATGCTTTTACATAATAAATATGCAATTCTTATCAGGAGCATAGTTTATTCCATCATACATATCATTGTTTGAATAAAGAAGAAGAAAAAGAAAAAAAAAATTAAGATCTATGTGAGATTTGATATACCTCAATTGACAGGTAAAGTATATCTACATATATTCATAAATTTAAATGAACCAACGATATATGAGAGATAACGGTAATTGTGCACACTTTACATACACGGAGACAAATCGAAAAATGATAAGAATAAATGATCACCGATGGGTACGAAATAGAATAACAATTGAAGAGAGAGAGAGAGAACTTCGGGTACTGAAACATATGATTAGCATGCACTCAACATAGAATATTAAAAGTATTTTAATTTTTTATATGAAAGAAAATCAGTTATGAGATTTACTCGACATTCCGACTATTTGTAAGTGATCTTATTATTGATTTCGATCATGACAGACTAGACCACTTTATTTTTTACGGAGCAGTCAGGCCTTACAGGCATAAAATCACTAGAAAAGAAGTAAATGATATTACAAAGAAGAGGTTTTCATTCGTATGTAAAAGAATTTATTTAAAAAAAGAAAAAAAAAAAATCTTTTCTTATTTCTTGATTATCATCATTAGAAGAAGAATAGAAAAAGAAAAAATATTCACTAGTGTAAATATGTAAACTCCTCTAGCGATAATGGTAGATAATTATTATTAGTAACATTGTTCAAGGACACACATATCGTGTAACAAATATGAAATAAATATAGATACAATGTTGATCTATTTTTTCACTAAATATAATGTGTATATGTGTGCAATCGAATCTCTTGTTTTCTCTAAACGTTGCAAACAAAAAACAAAAAATAAACGAAACTCAATTTTCAACAACAAAATTATCTGTTAGAAGAAAATTTACATTTTATAGAAACACTGTATTAATTGATATGATGTTTGATTTAGTTCGTGTCTAAAAATTTCAAAAAACGTTCTTGAACTGTCATTTTAATAGAAGAAAATCTATAGAAAATATATTTTACTAGTGATGTGAAAAAATTTGTTAGATTTATTCGTTAGTAAATTATTCAATGTGTATGTACAAAAAAAGAAGTGTTAATTCTCCTCTTGCGACTGCAATACCATTTTAATTTGACTATAGTGCTTACTAAAGACCAATGGTTGTCATACTAGGCGCAAGACGATTCTCGTATGCAAATTATAACATTTAAGAAAATAGAGTTGCTTTAAAAAGCTCATCAGCTCTAAGTGATTCTGTTATTATTCTAATTATTACCTCGTTTGAACATATTTTGTAATATTTAATCCAGATTGACATACACAAATACACAGAGTTGTTTTAACCAAGAAAATATAACAATAATACAATGTGCATCTTTTTTGAAAGCTCATTTTTTTTTCTCTCTTTCTCTCTCTCTCTCTCTTTCTCGCTTTATTCGTATTGTTCCTTTATTTTTTTTCGATTAAAAAAATAGGAACATCATAGAGAGAGAGAGAGAGAGAGAGAGCCCATGTCATTTCTCATTTTTCACTATCCTTGCTATTTGGAGGTCATATCATAAAAAAAAAAGATTTTTTACTCATTTAAATATAGATGTGAAGTAATTTGTATATTGCATATATATGACCTTTGGCAGACTACAGTTTTACAATCATTTTTCCCGTCACGATGGAGGCGTTTATATTTCATATTCAGAAATCTACATCTAGATCTTTTAATAAAACCTTATCCTAATATTTTTGACATACGTACACTTATCTTTTAACGAAACTTCTTTTTTCTATTTTTTTTTCTTCTTCTTCTCTCTATTATCTATGTCATAATCATATTTGTCTAGATTACAAAAAAAAAAAAAATACTTCGTATGTCATTGAACTGTGAACTGTAGATGAATGATGGACTATACGTATAAAACGAGAGAGTTTGAACTGACATTAAAACTCTATTATGACATATTATTCTATTTCCAAAAATAAGAAGAATAAAAGAAGAGAGAATATCTACATATTGTATCCATAAATTCTTGGATAACATTATGCTCGAAGTGTCGATAACTCAAACTATCTATACGTTCGAATATTAAGAACCTACTCGATGAAAATTTCAATATTCATAAGCAACTTATCTTTTACTAATTTTATATACTCAATTTTTCTAAATGTCTATCAAACTAGAAACTGTAGAAATTCTTATGTCAACATAAATAAAAATCAACAGATTTTTCAAGCTATTTTTATATTAAAGCATTTGGCTTCTAAAAAAAAACATTGATAAAACGATCATTCTGTCATGAGAATATTAATAAAAATCAACGAGTAATTGTAAAATCAAATATTTTAAGCACTTTAGGTTGTTACAAAAAAAATTTTTTGATCCCTTCAATATGTCATAAACGTTCTAAATGGGTCAATATGTCATGCCAACCAAATTACACTATATGCATAAGATACCATAAAAGAAGAATCACTGTTACCATTAAATCGTGTAGATCGTTTTAATTCTCTAAAATTAGGGAATATTGAATTTGAAGTAATAAAAATGTGTCGATGTGGTTGTTTTTTAAAATATCAAAGCCAAACATATAGAGCAGCATGCATATGCTTTGTACAGTATAACTTTAAGCTAACATTTTGTTTTAACCAACACTTGATGATTAATATCATCATTTACTAAATTATTAATGCGTTCGATTGTTTAGTTAATTTTTCCACTAAGTGTACAATAATTGAATAAATATTATCTTTAAATATTACTGTTATTTGTAAATTTTTGATATTCAAAGAATTGATCAATATTTTGTATCATTAATAAATAAATAATTGTCATCATTTAAAATTAATTTTTATATCATTGATAATGTGAACAAATCAATGCAGAAATCCATGCTAATGAAGAACAACATTTTTTCATACACATTTTTAGGGTTGATTAAATGTCACCAGAACTGGGCAGATTACGGAGTTTCCAAGCCACAAGTCAAGGTAAATCTCAGGTTTTTTGCCATGTCAAATTAAAAGTGATAATTGGAAATTTTTTTTCGTAAAAAAAATGCTCAAAGTTTAGTAGACTTCGTTCCTTTCTCTACTCTAAGATACGACTGATGGAGTCTTCAGTTTGATAAAAAATGGATTTTTCTTCGAGTTCGTCATAATTGTTTTTAGAGAATGGCCAAAATCACTTATAAAGTCTTAGTTTTTCGATGGAAGGGTACTTTTATCTAATATTGAATTCAAATTTCCCATCTACTCATGTATTTTACCCTAAAAATTCGCCATAAAAACCTGATTTTCTTAGTTAATGACTTCGTTTAATTTTTCAAATTAAGTCACAAGTTAAGTCAAAGATGATTTGACTTGACTTGACTTAGATCATTTTTTTAACTTGACTTGTCCAGCTTTGAATTTCACGCAGGTAAGAATAAGTTGTCTAGTGACGTTCATGGTCTGTTATCATCATATAATCCTCCATCTAATTTAATTGTCAATTGTTAAATGTTTTGAAATAGAATTGAACAACATAATCAAATTATCAATAGAAAGTAAGTAATACTCGCATATTCCAACTACTCTAAATGACATATCATCTCGAACATCAATTATACAATTTAAATTTATTTTACATATGGTCGATAATAATAATTTTGTCTGAAAGTATTATTTATTTATATATAAAAGATCAATATCAATGATAATTATTGTTGAATGAATAGATAAACTAATTAGATATTCTAATCTTGTCAGAACATAAACAAGTACACCATTATTTGATCTGGTTTATATTACCCAATGAAGTTAAACAAGTTTTTTATGAATTGAATTGAATAATCTAGTTTCATTGAATATATCGAGATTCGATAATCGACATGATGCAATTTATTGATAAAATATCTAGAAAATTTTCTAAATATATCAATTTAAGACAGTATACATATTTTCAATAATCGTTTATTAGACAAATTGTCGAATTTTAACATCGTTCTAATAATATATCTAGAAAAGAATCGAAACCATTGTTTTCGCAAAAAAAACAGTCAGTATAAGAAATCTGCACAAAATATTTGACAGATTTTGAAGTGAAATAAATTAATATTCAACTAGAAGTAAAAAAAACACATCAAGTGATAAGTGACGAAAGTTCAATTGTGCGATAAAATTTTAAATTGAAAAACATATTCAGAATCTGTAACAAGATTTGAAGAGTCTTAGATTTTATGCAAAATTTTTTTTTGGAAAAGTAATAATAGACGTTTTCATGATAACACTTGAAATTTTGGCAAATTTCCAACTTTTGATCAGTAACTCTAATTACATTATACACTTTTATTCGTATGATCAACTTTCTTTTTATTTTTCGTCTACTTTTTGAGGGTTTTTTCTTGTGGTAATTGGACCATAGCTTTTGTTATCTAGTAAACAATTTTATAATATATTCATTTGTGTTTTTGTCGAGTAAAGGAACATCAACACAGACTATATCAAAAATTTCCATGAAAATTTATGTAGCATTAGAAAGACAAAGAAAAGACAAGAACGAAAATATTACAATAATAGTCCTATTATATGTTGATTTTTTTGTTTTTTTCTAGTGTTACAAAAACTATTTATATACCTAAAAACCTTAACTTAGTTATGCAGTTCATTAGTTAAGTACTACAATAACGATTTTGGAACATCAAAACTTTTTTATCGTTGTAGTGTCTCAGTGAATATTGGTCAGCAGACATTTCTTTCACGACTGCATGTGTCTTTTTCTTATACTATTGAAATAAAAGCATTAGAATCTTCCTTATATAAAGATATAGAGAATAAAATGCTATAATGTAAGTATATGTGACAATAACAACATATCATTCAAGCCGCTGTACTTGGTACAGAAAACGTCATGTAAGAAAACAGTTCCGACCGCATCACACCCCATCTTTCAATGAACATGTTTTCTAAGTTGAAGACATATCGATATGATAACAATAAGACATAGAACCCACAATAAATGTTTAACAATCGATCATGTATAAGAAAAACAATTTTTGTTTTCTCCAATAATGAATAATTGTATCAAAGAAAAATTTCTCAAAAGTAAAAGATCTATCAATACTTTCTCTCAATAATCTCTCATCAATGCAATAAATGAATTATACGTTTTATATAATTTAGTCCGAGTTACAAACATTGTATATTAAGAATGTTAGTATTAACAATTTTAAATGTCTGTTTTGATATGTGCACTAGATTAATAGTCACTCCATCTACAAAAGACACTTAATAATCCATTTTTGTCAAAACCATCTTAGCAACGTAATACTGACTAGAAACAGAATGTAATGAAAATATGAACATTAAATTTATAAATTCATTCAATTTATTTATTTTTAAAATGAAGATGTACAAAAAAAAAGCAGGAAAGGTTATGTATTCTAGAGCTTAGTGAATGAAACGTTTATTGAAACAAATACTTGTAAAACAAGAATAATAATTCTTATTAATATTTAAAAAAAAATACTAAATTTATTTAACAACAAGTTTTGTAAGAAAAAAAACAACCACGTTCAATAAATGAAAAAGCAAATAATGATTAAAAGAGAGAAATAACATTAATCCCCCCAAAAAATGTCTAAGTACTCTCTTTAAATTTCTGTAAGAAAAGAAAAATTCACAAAAAAAAAAGATTTAATGTATAAAAACCAAATAAATTTAAATGCATTATGTTATATTAAAAAAAGAATTGATTAATTTTGTTTTTTAACTCACATAGCTTCAAATTCATCGATACGACGTTTCACTGTCCCTATAGGAAAAAAAATACAATAGTTTTCAATTATCTCAATATAATATATTAAATTCGTTCGATTTACCTTCACGTATTTTTTTCAATGTTTTATATTTATCAATACCCTTTGCTTGTAAATTTTCACGATAAATAGTATCTTCAGCTGTCTCTCTGTCATCACGTTTTCGTTTATCCAACTCTCGTTTATCATCCTACAAAAATAAATAAAAAAATTCATATTTTAATAAGAAAAATGAAAATTGAGAGAATTACACTGATGGATGAAATCAAATAATGAGTTTTATTTTATTATTATTTTATTATTATTTTATTATAACAAATTTAAAATTAGAAATCAATTAGATTTCTCTATTTCAATGATTTCTTCCATCAGTGTGTTATTATCACACGCAAATAAACTAAAATCATACCTAAATTATTATTATTTTTTTGATAATTCTACTGCATTGAATCACTTTAGCATATATGTATATGTATATACACCCACACAGCAAGCACAATAAAATCATAAAAAGCAACTTTTGTATTCCCACATCCTCTTGTTCAGCGTATATAGGAGATAAAGGTGCATAACTACAAAATAGTCTCCCGATCGACAGTAAACTGTTTATTTGTTGTAGTAGTAGTAGTAGAGTAAAAAAACAAAAGTTTAGAATCATCAAGAGCGAGAAAAAGAGCAAATAAAACACAAACACACAAATGTATAGACGCATTAAGAAGAGAAGGACAAAAAAAAAACGTTTTACGACGTGGCCAGCTAACGGTCATCATTCGGATCAGAAGATTCGAATTTTTATTTTCATTCGAACACAGATGCCTCATTTGTTTCCATGTTTGAATGCCAAAACGTTTTTTAAATATCAAAATTTTTTTTTGATTTTCTAAAATAAGTTTTGGTGCTTATTTTGTGAACAATTTATGCCCATTTAATCTAATTTTGAAACTTTACTTTCGAATAAAAGGCACCTCAAACTATCTATTTATCTATGTGCAAATTAGAGAGTTTGGTAAGTAGTTCTGTGACAGAAAAAATATATACCAAACTAAGAAGAGCAAAAAAAAGGTGAAATTCCGTAACGGTCACTTTTTTTCGATTTCCTCTGCCAGGGACAGTAACTTTTGGTTCACTTGGTTAATCAAACTAAAATTGTTTTTGATAGTAGAGCCCGCTAATATCCATCACTGATATAAATTTTATCGATAAATATTGCTTCCTTGTCGATATAAAAGATGCAGAAGACGAAAAAAAAAGTGAAATTTCACAATATTTGACCACGCCGTTTACTACAACCTGATTTTTGTTTAAAACACACATTTATGTATATAACAGAATAAAATTAAACTTAAGAACTTTCACAAAGTTTTTTTTTAAGTTTAAAGGAAGACATTATATGTCGAAAAAAAAGAAAGAAACAAAGCGTGTACAGTCGATTAGGCACAAAAAGCTATCAATCGATTATCGAGTAAGATGGTTGATGGAAATTTTAATTCTATTTTTAACAGACAAATTTTTGATCTTTTAGAAAGAGAACGGAAAACAACAATAGAATAATAACAACGAAAGAACAAAAAACAGAATAGAAAGAACCAATGTATCTACTATCTATTTTTTGTACTTATGAGAAAGGTAGAATGATGAAATGCTAAATAGTATATGTCCCCCTGTTTTGATTTGTTTGTATAAATTTCACATGGATTCAAATTCGTCAATACGTTTTTTTGTATTGCCCTGTCGAATCATTTTTAATGTTTTATATTTATCACGACCAGATGCAACATTTTGTTGATGTAAACGATCATTATCGGTCACTTTGTGAGGATTATGAACGCTGCCTAGTTCATCTTTTAATGCCTGAAAATGAAGATGAGGTGCACCGTGCAATGATATGTATTTGATTGTGAATATTTTTAAGAGAAAAATGTCGATCGGTTACGTCATGGTGCAATCCCCAGCTACGATAGAAAATGATAATGTTTTTTTTTCTCAAATTCACCAGCAAGATATCAATCTATCTATACATGATTTTAATTCTATAGGTGAATTTAGAGTGTTTATATTTAGACCATCCAGTCCTATTAATGACTCTTTTTCTACAAGAACTTAGAAGCTTCAAATTAGTCTAAACTTTCAAAACATAAATCTTTCTACTGTCGTTTAGATGGTAACTCGAGTGAAAAGACAATATAAAATAGTAGCAAATTAGCATTTAGCAGCAGAGAGCATTTTTCACCCACTTTTACCATTAAATTTAAATACTAACATACCATTAATTGCTCTTTCATTTTTATATTTCTTTGTGCTTCTGTAATTCGATCTTCTTCATGTCTTGACGCATTTATATTCGTTTGTAATTCAACTCCTATAAAACAAAAAGAAGATAGACAAAACTGTTTAGAATCAGAAAATCCTAATTTCTTCTTCTTACCTCTTCTATTTCGACTACTACTATTTTCATCATCATCGTCACTTTCTTCATCTCCATTATTAAATTCACCGATTGCATGATTATAATGATGATTCATACCCGAATTCATTTGAGTGGTTGTTTGCATTACCTAAAAAATAAATGCAAAGAATATGTTAAAATTGAATGTACACTCATTCTCACTTTCGTACTAAACCCAAAGCAAAAAGCAGTTAGAAGACGTTCAACCGTTGTCCCGATCAAAAAAAAGAAAAAGAGCAATCATACCAGTGCACGCGGTTTTGTTTTTATCGAACGAATGCTATTTATACACAATAGAGTATAGATAGATCAATTGATTTTCAAAAAAAAATCATTTTTTAAAAACAAAGCAGCAATCGCTAGGGAGAAAGAGATAGTCCCAAATTAAGAATTCTATAACGCATAAAAAAAAAATTCTACAACGCCCCCCAAAAGAGAGATTCAAAAATAATACCAATTTCTGAAAATATAATGATGAAAAAAGTCAAATAAATCGTTTGGATAAAATAACTCAAATACAATTATATTATAATTACTTTTTGTCTTGCTTCTAATAGTTCTTCTTCCAGGCGTCTTGCTTCGATTTCTTTTTGTTGTGCTTCATGAGCTTTTTGTTCGGCAAGTCGTCTTGCTTGTTCAATTTCTTGTACCTAAAACTTAGTTCTTAAGTTCTATTCTACCAACTGTGTACATATGTAATTTTGTGCTTTGTTTTGTTTCTGTTTTTTCTTCTAATCTCTCTGTACTCGAATGTGTCTAGATTTCCTATTCCGTGTACATATCACCATCTCTTTAAGAAGTGTTGTTTTTCGTTCCATCTTCTTGATATAGTTTCATCTATCGCTCGCTCTTCATCATAACATATTCAATCTCTAACAACATGTATACTCGATTCCACATATGGATAGACGTATATGAAGTCTAATATGTAACCTGTATTAAGAACGGACATAGATTCACACATTGTATAAGATTTGAATTTAATTTTGAACAATTTAGTACAAAATTAAATATGTTAGCTGTTGAATACTTAGTTCTTCAGTTCTATTCTACTAACGATACGAATGTGATTTTTTGTGCTTTGTTTTGTTTCTGATATTTTCCTAATCTTTTTATGCTTTATCCTAATAGAAAGAAAAAACTGAAAATAGTGTGCAGCGAGATTCGTGTTTTTGTTCTATAACTAGAAGAAAAACAAAGCGGTAACTTTCGTCTATTTACTATCATCATTTTTCTGGTGTCCACATGCACAAATATAACAGTACATGGCAGAAATGCACACTACGTATGCCTTGGATGCTTTCTCTCGTAGTACAGAAAAACTGTCCATAAATTTTTGTTCAAATACCCAAGCCTATAGTGGATTGATTATTGATTCGCTAGACGAACTGAAAGATTTATCAAAAGACTATATAACTTATCTACGATGAAAAGACAATTTGAACTAAATGCAAGGGGTTAAAAAAAATGGGACACATTTGGGATGATTTTACAGTTATTCAAAATAATTGTGTACGAATAATTAAGATGGAGAAAACAACGATTGAGCATAATTCGACATTTTTGTTTTCTCAATAATTTAGACTAAATAGACAGCTCAAACAATCAAAATCAGAATAGCTTTTTGACATACTGAGCACTGAGCAAAACTAATAGCAAAGCACTTATTTTCTAAACTGAAACGAACACTCACGCGTTTATTCTAAAAGAAGTTACGATTCTATTAATGATGTAGTAGTATTAGCTGATAGTGAGAAACTAACAGAATGAATATGACTTAACTGTAAGTTCTATATTTTCTATTTAGCTAAAACTCGGAAGTTGATAAGGAAATCTTATAAAAATAGTTCATGCCTAAAGAATCTCTAAATGACTTACTATTTTTACTTTTTCTTCTTGTTCATAACGCATACGATCCATTATTCGTTTTTGTTCTTCTTCTGCTTCATATCGTTCTTGTGCTAAACGTGATCGTTCCTCTTCAGCATGAGCACGTTTTTCTTCTATTTCTTTTGTTAAACGACTTTGTTCATCTAATGCTAAATAGAAAATAAATTTATAATACAAGTTAAACTTTGGTATGAAAAATAAAAGCACTATTAGCATCAGCATCACACACACATAGACTATTCCTATAATAAGCAAACTTGGAGAGAATCATTATCATTTAATTATATTTTAGAATTATTTTTTATTTATTTTATTTGCTAGCTGATTCACTTGAAAAAACAACACATACATGATCGTTCGTCGTCATCAGTATAGGACGCACTGTCCTCTGAAATTTTTATTCTCAAATTGTAAGTTTTTGGTACATGTTGAAATTTGATGAGAAAAACTATTTTACCTTGTTTAGCTTGTTCAGCTTGTACTTCTAAATTTTTTAATTTTTGTTTTAATGTTTCTTTTTCACGTTCAGCCATTTTACGACGTTCAATTTCATTTTGAATACGTTCTCTAAAATGATAAAATAATTTGTTTAGATACTGTTGAGTAAAACGAGAATTTTTATTATGTTGATAGACATTAGGCATTTGTTCAGGGACTCTTCTGTTTTTTCTTGTTTAGTCATCATTTTTGCAAAAAGTGAATCACATGATCCAGAGAACTACGTTCTGAAAACGGGGAAATAGCTTTTTGGGTGGACCATTTTATGTTCTTCTTTTAAATAAAAGTCCAGATTCGGTGAGATGAGTTTCACAAGTGGAAGAAAATGTGTCTTGGTCTTTCGAAATTTTGAATATATTTCGAGTTTCCCGGTACCACTTTTGTTTTTTGACATAATTGAGAACTGAATTTGTGTACATATCTTCTAATTTGTGAATTTTTTTTCACATACATGCATCTAATAAAAGATATATGAATTTCTTCTTTGTTTTTTTAAAATAATAATTATAAAACTTTATTACTACTATAAATCATGGTGAAGAATAAAGTTTTTTTCAACTTTTTAATGATCTCGCTGCCCCTGTTAATATAACCAGTGTCTGTCGACATCGCAACTTGTGTGCAAATGTGTACAATTGCATTCTAGTTTTACCTTTCAATTACTCGCGCCTGTTTTTCGTCTTTGGCTTGTGCTTTCATCTGTTGAACTTCAATTGTATCTGGTTTACGTCTTCTCATATATAATTCATGATTACCCATACACAACGATAATATACGACGATTAATTCTTAGACGTGGAGCATAAAATATAAAATCCTACAAAAAAAAAATATATATTAAAAAATATAAATAGACAAATGGATGTATAATACTCTAAATTAATTACCGGCGCTTTCTTTTCCATTGGTTTAATAACAAATTTTTTATCATTAAACGAAATATTTCGTATTTCACTCCATGGAAAACCAATTTTTGGCGTCAGTCTAATAATAAACATAGACCATGCAATTAATAGACAAATAAGAAATGACACGTACAAATGAGTAAAACGAAATCATCTAAGAAAATATATATAGAATAAATTAAAGATTATTAAGAATGAACAATGATGGTGTTCATATATATTACTTGACACTATTGTTTAAACTTACTTATCAGCTTTGTCATAAATATTTAATCCAAGTGCATCAACACCAAGGTATAATTCTGTTCCTTTTTTATTTTTAATATCAAAATAATTTACACCATACATTTCAAGATCTTGAGCAATTTTTAAATATTCTAACATGGCTTCTTCTCTAGAAAAAATAACAACGATTAAAAATGATAAAAAGAGATAATAAATTCTATCAAAACATACTTTAACATTCCACGATGTTCTTTCCACCAATTAGTAACACGTTTTTCCCATTCTTCAGGTGATAATTGAAATTGTTCTATTACACTTAAAAATTAAAATAAATGATATTTATAATAGTTTTAAACAATCACTAATTGATAATGTACCGTTTTGGCAATAATCGTTCATTAACCATTGATCCTGGTCTATGTGACTCTTCATTATAATCACCATGTTTCGCTTGCATTGCATAGGATGCTAATAATACACACGTTTCTGGTGGACAATAAATTTCATCCATTAATATTGAATCTCGAACTTGTAAAAAGAATAGTTTCTAGAATAATGAAGAAAAAAAGTGAAATTTTTTTTGTTTTTTATTTTATTGAATTATATAATAGAAATAATTTAAATATGTTTCATACTTGTGTTACGTCTTGTATAAGTTCTTCGGATACTTCTTCTGGAAAAAATCTTGCACGAAATTTAAATTGTAATGGTTGTTGTTGTTTTTTAACATCTTGACTTAAAACCTAAAATTTGAAATTTATTTCGTATTGTCCATGTTTCTTCATTTCTCAGTTTTATTTAATACCTTCTTATTTAATTTTAACCAAACTGGAAAATTTTTACTATCAGTAAATTGTAATGCAAAAAACCATATTTCACGTAATGCAACGGTTTTAACAACCTAAAATAATCAGATTTTGTTAACATATAAAATCTACTACAATTGTGAAATAGAGAAAAATGTACGTGTTTCAATTGTGCGTAAATTTTACATTATACATAAGAATGGCAAATAATTGTTACACAATGGAGAATAATTTAATATAGCAGATAAACTCTCCAATATGCTATAAGAGCATTTAGAAATAACAATCTGCATCTAAATAAACCCTACTTATTGTTCTCACTAGAATAAATTTTTTCTGTCATCATATTGAACCTACTTGATCAAATAATTGTTTTCCAGTAGTATTTGGCTGAATGGCAAACTCTAATTCAGCATCCATGGTTAACACCCGAACGTTAACCTAAATAGAAATGAAAAGAAATTTAGTTAAACACGTTAAGAATATCGGTCAGATTAACATTTTGATTAATCGAGCAAAAAAACTATTTTTGCTACATATGACATTTTTCCATTGATTCGGTTATGAATGGAAGAATTCATTTCTTAATTGATCATATTTTAAAACATTTTCGTTCATTTTTACAATGTCAAATAATTGAGTTATAATTGCATTTTTATAATGTGCATGTGATTTACACTTAATGATAAAACGCAAGTATCCAAAAATAATCAAAAATGAAATTCCAAATCTACGTATACATGTTTCCACAATCTTAAAACGACAGATAAAATCTTGAAAACATACTGACGACTCCAAAATATGACAGAATACATTTGTCATTGTGGCCATGTATCATTTAATATCACACATTGTTACTATACTTTTATTCTCGAATTATAAATGCCGCTATTGAGCGCTTTTTTTTCAAAATATCGAAAAAAATCAGATTTTAGATTCGTATAAGAAAATGTGTGAACAATCGCAAGTGTGTGTATGTGATTTTTGAATTTTTTTTATACCACCACTGGAGTCGATTTTCTTATCATAGTCAGAACAATAAGTCATAGCGATATCAAAGCTCAATTCAAAGATATTTATGATTTAATGAAAATATTTTTACGTATTCTTCGTGGATCACTATTGTTCTGATCAATCGATCATTTTCGTTTTTCAAGTGTTTGGCTGTTACTGTTCGTCATTCTGCTTACACTAGAAAGACGTTATCAACCGATTTGAATCGAACATTTTTATCTATTTCAAAGACTAACGGAAAATGTACGACCAGCAGTTGAAGCGAGAATACAAGAAATGCTATCATGGATCTACTATCCGGATATGGAACGATGTGAATCAATCAATAAATTATTGAAACAAATGTGATCAGTAATAAGTGATTTAGTTTAACACATTTTAAACGTTTTTATATTCCTTCTTTTATATTGTGAAATATTATATGGTGGTGGTATGCAAATGAAAGTGAAATATCGCGGTCTAAAAGCTGGTATTAATTACTCTATTTACATGGCGAATTAAGAATATTTCTAAAATCATTAGTCGCTAAAGTACCATTAGTCGGTGCTATCGACATCTTCCTGCGAACACATCTACATTCGATTTTGATTTAACCGATATTGGAAACGTATAAGATCTACTTGGAATTAATCATATTCTTACAACATCAATCGAAAAAGTCATGCAAGCATTTGTCATGTCACTCAATCGTATTGTCATTGCTCTTATACATTGGTCTTGACATTTATAAACTCGAATTTTCTCGACTGGATGGCGAACTACTAAGAATTAATAGAGAAAAAGTTGAAGCAAAAAATTTACCGAAAACGGATTTTACTTTATTATCATCCATATATGCTATAAAATTACTGCTGATCAACACAAATTTAAAACCAAAGTTACCAAACATATCAATCCAAAATGGAATAGAATATTTGAAGTTCCACTTGTCTGTTGCCAATAAAATGTTTGTTTCCTTATTATTCTCTTGCTTAATATGATATGTATAAATATGAGTTTCGATTATTTTTCTACATTTTCAGATTAGTGTTCATGATTCAAATGTTTAGAATGATGATTTTGTTGGCACGGTAACAATTCTCATTGAATTGATTAAAAACAAAAATTCTGTTAATCAATGGTATGACATAGTGAATTCAAAAGTAAATTCAACAATTCATTTGAAGATGAATTGGTTTTATTTGAGTACTGATCATTAACATTTAACAGTAAGCAATTCAAGATATAAATAAAAAATATTTAAAAAAAGATGCAAACAAGAAAGAACATATATTGTCGATATGTTTGCTAACAGTCTATGTGGAGAGTGCTGAAGGTAAGACACAATGATGGTGTTTTATCCAAAATGATCGTAAATACTATGTGAGTAAATGATTATCTTTTCAGGTTTGCTACTGAAAAAACGGAGTAAATCATTTAAATTAAGTTTCTATTGTATATTGAAAATTGATAAGTTTGAAGAATAAAATCGGTGATTAAAAAATAGCCCAAATCCACGATGGAGAAAAAGTTATATGTTTATGTTGGCAAATCCAGATTTGTCACTGTTAACTATTGAACTTAAGGATTCAAATAATAAAGATAATCTCATTGGAAGGGTTAAAATTCCAATGTAATATATAATGAAAGAAAAACATTGAATTTTAGATGGACAATTTCCAATTAAACGTGTAGTTGATGCTACATCAAATATAAGACTTTATTGTAAACTTTAATTGAAAATAATGATAAAAGATTATTTGAAAGAATTTAGTCGACAGGTACATGATGAAGATGCATATAAAAAACAACTAGAAAGACAAGCAGAAATTGGGAACAGATTAAATTTTAATAATCAGAAATCTACACAAAGTTTTAACAAAGTAATGCTATCAAGTACGTTCGGCTAAAACTAATTTTAATGGTTGCAATTTTCAGCCAAAATAGTGTATTAGAGAAAACAGCGTTGTTTGTGACTAAGATAAAAAATGTTTCCAGTCAGTATTAGATTTAAGTTTAATACGTTAACGATTGCTCTTATGGCAATTCTAGAAGAAAATGGTAAAGATCCTCCTGCGTATAGGAACTTAAAGATTTTACAATTAACATTAAATGTTCCGTTATTGTTCTCTCGTACTATTTCATCTCAACCGACTACAACAGCAAATAAATCAAGTGTATCAAATACAAATTCACCCCATTCCATATTCTATAAAATCTCATCGGAGAAACCATTTGTAAATGAAGAAAAAGAGGATAGTAATGCAGAGAGAGAAGAGTAAAATAAAGATAATAGCGATGATGACGAAGAGAAACGACTATCGAAAGTTAAAATCCAACATAAAAAAGATGATCGACCAGTAATAAATCAACAAACAGTCATAGATCAAGAAGAAGCAACGCAGATTGGTGGCATTAAAGGATTTCTTCAAATAATTATGTACATCGTGTATGGATGATAAATCATCATCAAGATATTATAAAAAGAACAGTGAAGATGAAAAATGAGGTTTAATTAAGAAAAAAATTGAGAAAACAATGAAAGAAAAAGTGAGAAGAACGTTAGATGTCAATAATGCAGCGATGAATATTAATCAAAAGTTATTCTGGAACTGTAGTTCATCGTGTTCGGCTACATCTCTATTATCCATTTGTTTCTTTTCACACTCAACTGATTTAAGTGATCATAGTACAACGATTAGTACAAGGATGAGCTCGAAGTAAAACGATGACAATAGAGGACAAAATACAAGCGATGACGCCTGCATGATACTCTGTGATGATATTGATAAACAACATCATCAGATATCATATGGACTTGAATATACAAAGGAGTAAAAATATTAGACGATAGACAATATATGGAACTGTCACTCGATCTATTGTCTTACAGTTACTAGCATTTGATCGTTTGAAGAGTTGGTTCTTTTATCAATCACTCTCGCAGCAATCTGTAAAAAGTGTTTATGAATTGTAAATGAGTATTCAACGTACTTTATTCCCTCTTAGATTTTTCTCAATACCATAATAATACAATTATAGAAATAGTAGACAAAATGAATCAGTTTTCAATTCATTACTAACGAGCATCTGTTAATTAATACGGAGTGTTTTTTTTTTTCACCTTGTCTTCATCACAACCTCCACATCACAGAATATGCCAAAGAAAAATAAGAAGATTAGAACATCTTAATGATGATGAAGACGACAGGTTTATACCAATAAGAGATATATGGGTCACGTATGTTACAGTAAAAAATCGTCCACCAAAATATACATGAAACTAATAAAATTATGAGATTGTCGATCACATCTATAGTAAATCAAAAGAATTTGATACTGTCTCTTGTTTTTGCTACAATTAATCGATTGACAAGTATAAAATCTCATATTAAAAAGTTCATGTCCAAAAATAATATCAGCAAAATCTGAACGATAATAAATAATAGTCTATTGGACTATGTTTTTGATCATATTTTAATAGATTTCAATCTATTAAATTAAAACTTCAAGAAAAGGTTACTCCTCACACTAATTTAATTAAAAAATTAGATGATAGCAATGAGATTATTGAAAGATAACATCTGTCATGACGGTCATTTCATACCAATAGAAATAAGAAGTAAATAACACACATAGAAAACAGGTTTGTCTTTGTTAAAAAAAAGTATTATTCTTCCGTGCAATACTATATACATTCATCATTAAATTATATTGAAATACTGACAACATCACGGCTAATTCAACGATGAAACTCGATTAGATCGGAAATACGCTGCACGTTTATCTCATTTTTGTTGGTAGACTGATACATGATGAAGATGCATATAAAAAAACAATTAGAAAGACAAGCAGAAATTAGGAACAGATTAAAATTTAATAATCACAGATCTACACAAGTTTAACGAAAGTAATGCTATCAAGTACGTTCGGTTAAACCTTAATTTATTTGTCAACTATCTTTCTTCAAATACGTATTATCAACTGTCAGAAACAGCATCAATCGACATAGTTTCAGAAGAGACATAGAACTTCGATTATCTATACCTCGAGAAACGCTAACTGTTCCTTATCCTTTAACATTTAACAATTGTAATAATCTCCATCAAAAAGAGTCTAGGTTAAGTTCATCAATCGATTTAAACACCAAAACAACAACAACTGCATATCAATTCGATTAGGTACAAGGATAATGATCAAGCAAGAGTAGATAATGATAAATTTTCACTAAATCTAATGGAGAAAAATTTAAAACTCCATGCTTGGTTTTAACTGATATGTTTTACTATAAGAAGAAAAAAAGTTAACTTACCGTTTTGGACGGCATTTTTTGATATTATAGTTTGTTGTCCTTCTTTTTCTACTGACTGTTAATTTATCTATTTGTTTTTTGGAATGTTGTCGTTATTAATTTGTTTTTTCTTACTGTTATCGAATCATATGGACATAACGTTAAAAAAAATAAAAGTATTCATAGAAAACTTTAATAGATGATATACGGACGACGAAAGGTATTGTTATCTAAAATGAAACAAAAAGACATACTAAATCTAAAACTTTTTACATAACGATAGAAGTTTTTCTAAATCCAACAGAATTCTCAATACACTGATTTTCTCATCTGACTTTCTCATTGGTAACAGTGTAATGAGCAAAACACAAAAAAAGAGACGTTTATTTATAAATATTATCAGCAGTACAAAACCCAACTACTGTTAGGTTAAATAAAATGGAATACTTTTCATCGCATAAAAAAAAAACAACTTGTATATTTTACATGCCATCGTCTACTCTGTTCTCAAGAATTGTATATTAACTAATTCTATTCTAACTGTTATAAATAGAAACATGGAAAAATTTACAAAATACTTGGTGTTGATTGAGTTAAAACATTGCGACATTAGTAAAAAACATAACCTGTCCTGGTATATCGATATGACAACATTCACACGATTAAGTTGGAAATACCGAGATGGTAAAAACTAGCGCTAGAGTGCAAAATTTTTATTAGAGAAAACAGCAACTTAAATGACAGTGGACTTTCAAAAAAGTTTGTCGAGAAATCTCAATATTTTCAATAATTGTTACAGTTTTATCGTACAAGACTTGAGAGAGAGAGACTAAAGATAAAATAAAAACTGTGAAATTCTAAAAAAAAAAAGTGTTGTGAGACTACAAGAAAGAAAATGTGATATGTTAGGATACAACTAGAATAATTTTATCTAGAATTCATTCAATAGTTAGTTTAAGCTTTGATCTTAAACTAACTATTGAATAGTTATAAATTATTAAAATATTTATAGATATTAACGCACAGAAACAATCAGAAATGGAAACGAAAGCATGAGCAGTAAGAATATGATGAAAAAAAAAATATGCTAGTTGTCAATCATCATCATAATCATAAGTGGAAAACATGATTCACACTATTATGTATGTTGATGTTATAGTACAGTATCTCTATTTGCTTGGGTCCAACATACAAATATATGTTTGTTCCGTTAAAAAAAGATGTACATTCGATGTATATATACGTCATAACTCAACACAATCATCCTTCCTTCATCAAGACAAAAAATTCTATCACTACACCTTCAACAGACAAGAAGAGTCTCCTCATTTAAAAATCCAAAATATTCAGTAAAACCTGTTATCAATAGATAATAAGGAAAAGATCCTAATCAATTATTTATTCATACCTCATCATATCATACTCATAATTCAATATAAATATATAAAACGATGAGAACAGTGATGGTCACGCATTTTTTAACAAACTTCTCTGAACTTCTTCTACACACTTTTAATTAGATTCAACAGTCTGTGTACAGTTTTCTCTCTCTCAAAATAAAAAGAAGAAAAATCGATGACAAGCAAATCAGTGAGTGAAAATACTTAAAAAAATTAGTGATTGAACATACTTGTGTTTAAAAATATATATTTTACACTCATAAATGTTCATTCTTTCGTTTGGGTATTATACACTTCGTTATTATTATTAAAAACAATAATCTTTCGGTTAAATATTAAATAAATAATAAATAAAAATTAGCGACAACCGGTGAGAACAAAAACAAAAAATAAAATTATATAATCAAATCTATTTTTTCTAAATTGACACGTTGTAAGGAAATTTAATATCTTCGATACCTTTCGTGTTCAACACGTACGCAACATTTCTTAAACTTACTATTATTTATTACTTAACATACACACACACACACAAACGGGCACATTTAATTTATCAAGACACGTGCGGACGATTACAACAACGTTTATTTTGACATGACATGGAATATATGGAGTGAAGAAAAGAGAGATCAAGAGAGAAGAAGAAAGACGTTAGATTTTGTTCTTGTTTTTTTTCAAAAAGCTCTAAGTAAATAATCATAAAGAAGAAGAAGAATATAATGTATGTAGTAAGCTTTAGAAAACAAGCATTCGTTTTTCTTTGCGGTCTACTAGCTGTTGTGTTGCGGTGTGAGTGTGTATACTGTTCGGTCTACTAAAATACGAACGGTATCTTTTATTGATCGTTGAAGACAGAGAAAAAGAGAGAGAGAGAGAGAGAGAGAGAAATAAAATAAAATTTATAAGAATGAATGAATAAAAAATTGTTCTCAAAATTTGATTTGAATTTTGTCATTGTTTATAATTGCTTGATAATATACAGTAACTTTATGAAGAAGAAAAAGAAACTAACTCTTATACAATTAACAATAAAATTATAAACTCTCTTTCAGAATTTATTGCTCTAGGACTTCGTTGATTTTATTAGTAATTAGAGCATAGAAGATAACATAACTATATGTACAACTGAATCAAACAATATACATATTGAATACATCTATTCGTTTTTTATTCTCAATGTCCAGACACAAGATTATTCAATGAACTAGGATCTTTCCAAAAATTTTAAATAATAAATAGATTATTTTTTTTAAAACAAAAAAACTTTATTGACATTAAACAAGCAAATTTTTAATATCAGATTACTTTATACAAAAAATTCGAAACATTGATCTCATATTCATTCAGTTTTCAAGTCTAGGTTGATAGTTTTATTTCTTCGTCTTCTTCTTCTCTTCAATAAAGTACATAAAATATGTTGATTGAGCAAATACAACATCTCTTTTCTCATTTAAAGCTTTTGGAAAAATTATGATTTATGATTCAATGTGTCATAGATAGATTTGTGATGACATAGCCGTACTTATTGAGACTCAAAAAATTTAACATGATCATGAGTTCATTTTTAACATAAATGAGTTAAAAATGATGGCAGGTAAATGGTTCAAGTTTTAGTTATATGACTGTGATACTCAAGTGTAATTACTTGATAATATACAGACATGAAGTTTCATTGTCACAAAAATATTCTTTTTTTTTTTCATAAATAAAAACTTTGAGAAAGTTGATATTTTTTCTGTGCTTCACTTATCGTAAATGATACATGGTCTCGTATCTAGTCGTGCTTTCCTCTTAAAGCTATTCTTATTCTCAAGTTTGTTACATAAACAATTTGAAAAGCATTTCAGACAAATTTTACTCGCCTAGAACATAACGTAGACATTGTCTCTCTTTCTCTTCTGTTATTGAACTTCTCATGTCATTTTTGTCTGAAAAAAAAATGGATACAATAAAAGAGTTTGAGTTATGAAGAAATTATTTGAACAAAAGGAATCGAATCGATAACAAATATTCATTAGACGTAAAATAGCTCTTTAAAAAATGTGGTGCTATGTGGTGTACACAGAGAAAAACGAGAAAGAGAGAGAGAGAGAGAGAGAGAGAGAGATTGATGTGCTTATACTACGAAAGAAGAAATAGAGTAGATGAATAGCTCTCTCTCTAAACGTATGTGGACGCATCATCTTGACCTCGTCTACATAATGGTTAAAACACATTTTTGAAATATAGAAAAAACAGAGAATGATAATGTTCATCAGGTTACACGCTATTATCATCATCTTTCGTTCTTTTAGAAGATATTTATTGAAAGATAATTCCCTATTCATAACAAATTGCTCTCATTCTTCTAAGAGGAACAAATTATTTTAATATAAAAGGGTTCAAAAGAAGAATATTGTTATAATATTTCCCTAATGCAATTATTTAAATTGATTAAATAATTTTTAAGGGAACAATGGTTTTGTCTTGAATTTCATCAACAACAGAAGAAAAGAATAACGTAAACTTGACGATGCGCGCGATAAGTAAAATAAATACAGCACTTTTACTAATGTTATCATAACTCATTGGTGGAATAAAACGAGTATGTTGAGCGCTAAAAGAAATGTTTTATCAAAGATTTGAGATTAATAGTATGAGAAACTGTTTGCATGTGAATACTTAATTTGATATCACTTAGAGAACAATTATTTATCACATACAAGTAACAATTGGTTATATTTTTATTCTCTATTCTATTTATTTAATAGTATAGATTGTTGCTCTACGCCAATTTTCATTCAACCTTTGAAATTTGGCTTTTTTGATCAAATAAAAAGACAAGAAAACATAAAACATCATGTTTACATTTAACATCCTATAGTCGATAACTAACAGCGTTCAATACATGAAAATCTTAATCTAATCATTTTTCTCTTAATTTTCTTAAATTTTTTTTTCCTCATATTTAAGATACTCTTTTTTATGATACAATTTCTTTCAACATGTTAGGTAGAATGAACAACAATCGTAAAAAGGTTACGTTTTATATTAGTTAAGCATACTTCAATAAATAAAGTTTCTTATTTTCTATTACTGCTATTAATTTTATGTTCCATTTACATATACCTATTAGGCATATAATAATGTCTATTAGAAGAAGAAAAACATGAAATTTCATGAACTGTCGTATAACTAAGCAGACATTTCGATGCATTGTTCAAAAAGAAAAGAGAAGATATAGTACTACTAATATTATGGAGTGCTACTACAGTTAAATTAAACGCCTATATGGTCTATATAAATTGTACAGTACCAACAAATATTATACAATTTAACAACAGATTCTTCTGTTAAATTTTAGATAAATATATACATTTGGAATAAAACATAAAGAATCTACATAAAATGTA